AACAGTGCCTTGCAGTGTGAGGGAGGGAGGCAGAGGTGAACACTATGATACGATGCGTAATCTCCACTGCAGTGCTAGAAAAGGTGAAATAGTTGAACAGTGTCTTGCAGTGTGAGGGAGGGGGAGGCAGAGGTGAATACTGTTACGATGCAATAGATAGACAGCCACTGCTGCTAAAAAAAGTATGAAAATCTCACTGTAGAAAGGAATGCCTTGCAGTGTGAGGGAGGGGAGGCAGAGGTGAACACTAATACGATGCGTAATCTCGCCACTGCTGCTAGAAAAGGTGAAATAGATGAACAGTGTGAAATGGTTGGAACACTGCCTTGCAGTGTGCTAGAGGGAGGGGGGAGGCAGGCAGGTGAATACTATTACGATGCGTAATCTCGCCTGCTGCTAAAAGTGAAATGGTGGGAACAGTGCCTTGCATTGTGAGGGAGGGAGGCAGAGGAACACTGATGTGTGTAATCTCTCCTGCCATGCGGTAATCGCCACTTGCCTTGCAGTGTGAGGGAGGGAGGCAGTGAACACTATTACGTGCGTAATCTCCCTGCAGCTAGAAAAGGTGAAATAGATGAACAGTGCCTGAAGAGGGAGGGAGGCAGAACACTATTACGATGCGTAATCTCCACTGCTGCTAGAAAGGTGAAATAGTTGAACGGTGTCTTGCAGTGTGAGGAGGGAGCAGAGGTGAACACTATTACGATGCGTAATCTCCACTGCTGCTAGAAAAGGTGAAATAGATGAACAGTGCCTTGCAGTGTAGGTGAGGGAGGCAGAGGAACACTATTACGATGCGTAATCTCCACTGCTGCTAGAAAAGGTGAAATAGTTGAACAGTGCCTTGCAGTGTGAGGAGGGGAGTGAATACAGAGGATGCGTAACACTGTTAGATGATGCACGTAATCTCGACTGCTGCTAGAAAAGGTGAAATAGATGAACAGTGCCTTGCAGTGGTGTGAGGGAGGCAGAGGGAGAAGCGTAGCAAAAGGTAGGTGTGCCTTGCAGTGTGAGGAGGGAGGCACTATTACGATGCGTAATCTCCACTGCTGCTAAAAAAAAGGTGAAATGGATTGAACAGTGTCTTGCAGTGTGAGGGAGGAGGCAGAGTTGAATACTATTACGATGCGTAATCGCCACTGCTGCTAAAAAGGTGAAATAGTTGAACAGTGCCTTGCAGTGTGAGGAGGAGGCAGAGGTGAAATTACTATTACGATGCAAAAAGGTGAATCGCCGCTGTTGCTAAAAGAGGTGAAATATTACGATGCGTACAGTGCCTTGCAAGTTGTGAGGGGGAGGGAGGCAGAGGTGAATACTATTACGATGCGTAATGCTCGCCACTGCTGCTAGAAAAGGTGAAACAGATGAACAGTGCCTTGCAGTGTGAGGAGGAGGCAGAGGTGAACACTGGCCACGATGCGTAATCTCCACTGCTGCTAGAAAAGGTGAAATAGTTGAACAATTGCAGTGTAGGGGAGGGAGAGCAGAGGTGAACGCTATTACGATGCGTAATCGACACTGCTGCTAGAAAGGTGAAATAGATGAACAGTGTCTTGCAGGTGTGAGGGGAGGGGAGGCAGAGGTGAACACTATTACGATGCGTAATCGCCGCTGCTAGAAAGGTGAAATGGATGAACAGTATCTTATGTTGTGTGAGGGAGGGAAGCAGAAATACCCACATGATGCGCTCTACTTATGGTGGGAGTGTCCATCTTATGTTATTCTCTCTCAAGGGAAAAGGTGGTGTCAAATAGTTGAACAGTGTCTTATGTTTAGGGAGGGAGGCAGAGGTGAATACTACATGATGCGTCACTTATGGTATGAAATGGTTGCTGTTTATCTTAGGTGAATGGTAAATGCAGTGCGTCTACTTGCAGTGTTATTCTCTGCCTCAGAGGATAAATACTACATGATGCGTCTACTTATGGTGGGAGGTGCTGGTTGTTGATCTTAAATTCTCTGCCTCAAATAAATACTACATGATGCGTCTACTTATGGTGGGAGTGTCAAATGGTTGCTGGTTTATCTTATGTTATTCTCTGCCTCAAGGATAAATACTACATGATGCGTCTACTTGCAGTGGTGGGAGGGTCAAATGGTTGTGTTTATTATTATTCTCTGCCTCAGGATAAATATACATGATGCGTCTACTTGTAATTGGATAAATACATCTTATATTCTGAGGATAAATACTACATGATGCGTCTACTTATGGTGGGAGAAATGGTTGCTGTTTATCTTATGTTATTCTCTGCCTCATGATAAATACTACATGATGCCTTACTTATGGTGGGAGTGTCAAATGGTTGCTGTTTATCTTATGTTATTCTCTGCCTCAAAAGATAAATGTCTACATGATGCGTCTACTTATGGTGGGAGGGGAGGCAAATGGTTTGCTGTTTATCTTATGTTATTCTCTGCCTCAGGATAAATAATACATGATGAACAGTGTCTGCTTATAGTGGGAGGTCAAATGGTTTGCTGTTTATCTTATTCTCTGCCTCAAGGATGTGCGTACTTCTGTCAAATGGTTTGCTGTTTATCTTATGTTTATTCTCTGCCTCAAGGATAAATACTACATGATGTCTACAGTATAGTGGGAGGTCAAATGGTTTGTTTATCTTAAATCAAGGTAAATACTTTATCTCTATTATGTTCTCTGCCTCAAGGAGGATATTTGTCAAATGTCTTATGCCTCAAGGATAAATACTACATGATGCGTCTACTTATGGTGGGAGGTCAAATGGTTGCTGTTTATCTTATGTTATTCTCTGCCTCAAGGATAAATACTACATGATGCGTCTACTTATAGTGGGAGTGTCAAATGGTTGCTGTTTATCTTATGTTATTCTCTGCCTCAAGGATAAATACTACATGATGCGTCTACTTATGATGGGAGTGTCAAATGGTTGCTGTTTATCTTATGTTATTCTCTGCCTCAAGGATAAATACTACATGATGCGTCTACTTATGAGTGGGAGTGTCAAATGGTTGTTGTTTATCTTATGTTATTCTCTGCCTCAAGGATAAATACTACATGATGCGTCTACTTATGATGGGAGGTCAAATGGTTGCTGTTTATCTTATGTTATTCTCTGCCTCAAGGGATAAATACTACATGATGCGTCTACTTATGGTGGAGTGTCAAATGGTTGCTGTTTATCTTATGTTATTCTCTGCCTCAAGGATAAATACTTTATCTTATGATGCGTCTACTTATATGATGGGAGTGTCAAATGGTTGCTGTTTATCTTATGTTATTCTCTGCGCCCATGATGGGAGTGTCAAATACTGTTTATCTTATGATGCGTCTACACACTGGGAGGTGAAATGGTTGCTGTTTATCTTATGATTCTCTGCCTCAAGGATAAATACTACATGATGCGTCTACTTATGATGGAGGTCAAATGGTTGCTGTTTATCTTATGTTATTCTCTGCCTCAAGGATAAATACTACATGATGCGTCTACTTATAGTGGGAGTGTCAAATGGTTGCTGACATCTTATGTTTATTCTCTGCCTCAAGGATTGATGCGTCTACTTATTTATCTTATGTTATTCTCTGCCTCAAGGATAAATACTACATGATGCGTCTACTTATGGTGGGTCTACTTATGTGTCAAATGGTTGCTGTTTATCTTATGTTATTCTCTGCCTCAAGGATAAATACTACATGGAGTGTCAAATGGTTGTATCTTATGTTATTCTCTGATAAATACTACATGATGCGTCTAATAGTGGGAGTGTCAAATGGTTGCTGTTTATCTTATGTTATTCTCTGCCTCAAGGATAAATACTACATGATGCGTGGTGGGAGGTCAAATGGTTGCTGTTTATCTTATCTTATGTTATTCTCTGCCTCAAGGATAAATACTACATGATGCGTCTACTTATGATGGGAGTGTCAAATGGTTGCTGTTTATCTTATGTTATTCTCTGCCTCAAGGATAAATACTACATGATGCGTCTACTTATGATGGGAGTGTCAAATGGTTGTTGTTTATCTTATGTTATTCTCTGCCTCAAGGATAAATACTACATGATGCGTCTACTTATAGATGGAGTGTTGGTTGCTGTTTATCTTATGTTATTCTCTGCCTCAAGGATAAATACTACATGATGCGTCTACTTATGATGGGAGTGTCAAATGGTTGCTGTTTATCTTATGTTATTCTAAATGCTGCCCTGCTTAAAGATAAATACTACATGATGCGTCTAAATACTATGATGGGAGGAGTCAAAATGTTGCTGTTTATCTTATGTTATTCTCTCAAGGATAAATACGATGATGCGTCTATTATGGTGGGGGTGTCAAATGGTTGCTGTTTATCTTAAAGGTCTGCCTCAAGGATAAATACTACATGATGCGTCTACTTATGATGGGAGTGTCAAATGGTTGCTGTTTATCTTATGTTGTTCTCTGCTCTACTACATGATGCGTCTAAGGATCAAATGGTAATCATGATGCGTGCTACTTATGATGGGAGGTCAAATGGTTGCTGTTTATCTTATGTTATTCTGCTACTCAAGGATAAATACTACATGATGCGTCTACTTACAGGGAGGTCAAATGGTTGCTGTTTATCTTATGTTATTCTCTGCCTCAAGGATAAATAATACTACATGATGCGTCTACTTATGATGGGTGAAAATGGTTGCTGTTTAAATTCTCTTCGCCTCAAGGATAAATACTACATGATGCGTCTACTTATGGTGGGAGTGTCAAATGGTTGCTGTTTATCTTATGTTATTCTCTGCCTCAAGGATAAATACTGACATGATGCGTCTACTTATGATGGGAGTGTCAAATGGTTGCTGTTTATCTTATGTTATTCTCTGCCTCAAGGATAAATACTACATGATGCGTCTACTTATGATGGGAGGTCAAATGGTTGCTGTTTATCTTATGTTATTCTCTGCCTCAAGGATAAATACTACATGATGCGTCTATGATCAAATGGTTGCTGCAGTGTGAGGGTGGGAGCAGAGGTGTAATACTATTACGATGCGTAATCGCCACTGCCAAGCAAAAAAAGGTGAAGAAGTTGAATAAAATGCAGTGTGAGGGGAGGGAGGTGAGGTGAAATACTGCTGATGCGTACCGCGCTCACAAAAAAAGAAGAACAGTGTCTTGCAGTGTAGGGAGTGAGGAATACCACATGATGCGTAATGCCACTGCTACAAAAAAAGGTGGAAGCCAGTTGAATGTGCCTGCAGTGTGAGGGAGGGAGGCAGAGGAACACTATTGATGCAATTCCACTGCTGCTAGAAAAGGTGAAAATAGTTGAACAGCGCCGCAGTGTGAGGGAGGGGCGTGAGGAATACTACGATGCGTAATCTCCACTGCGCCATGCTAGAAAAGGTGAAATAGATGAACAGTGCCTTGCAGTGTGAGGGAGGGAGGCAGAAATACTATTACGATGCATAATCTCCACTGCTGCCAGAAAAGGTGAAATAGATGAACAGTGCCTGCAGTGTGAGGGAGGGAGGCAGAGAACACCACATGATGCGTAATTCCACGGTCAGCAAAAGGTGAAATCGATGAACAGCGCCTGCAGTGTGAGGGAGGAGGTCGCCACTGCTGCTAAAAAAAAGGTGAAATAGATGAACAGTGCCTTGCAGTGTGAGGGGAGGGAGGCAGTGAATACTTACACGTACCTCTGCCACTGCTGCTAAAAAAAGGTGAAGATGAACAGTGCCTTGCAGTGAAAGGAGGCAGAGAAATACCACATGATGCGCAATCGCCACTGCTGCCAGAAAAGGTGAAAGAAGAACAAAAGCTTGCAGTGTGAGGAGGGGAGGCAGAGGTGAACACTATTACGATGTACTCCACGGTTGCTAGAAAGGTGAAAGGATGAACAGTGCTTGCAGTGTGAGGGAGGGAGGCAGAGGCACTATTACGATGCGTAATCGCCACTGCTGCCAGAAAAAGGTGAAAGAAGGAACAGTGCCTTGCAGTGAGGGAGGAGGGGAGGCAATACATGCGTAATCGCCACCGTTGCCAGAAAAGGCGCATGAAATATTCAGTGCCTGCCTCAAGGATAAATACTACATGATGCGTCTACTTATGATGGAGTGTCAAATGTTGCTGTTTATCTTATGTTATTCTCTGCCTCAAGGATAAATACATGGAGGTGGGAGTGTCAAATGGTTTATCTTATTTATCATATGTTTATTAGTTAATGGTTATTCTTGTGTTATTCTCTGCCTCAAGGATAAATACTACATGATGCGTCTACTTATGATGGGAGTGTCAAATGGTTGCTGTTTATCTTATGTTATTCTCTGCCTCAAGGATAAATACTACATGATGCGTCTATGATGGGAGTGTCAAATGGTTGCTGTTTATCTTATGTTATTCTCTGCCTCAAGGATAAATACTACATGATGCGTCTACTTATGATGGGGAGGTTGCTGTTTAAATGGTTGCTGTTTATCTTTTATGTTATTCTCTCAAGCCTCAAGATGATCTACTTAAATACTACATGATGCGTCTACTTATGATGGGAGTGTCAAATGGTTGCTGTTTATCTTATGTTATTCTCTGCCTCAGAAATAAATAGTTGAACAGTGCCTTGCAGTCTACTTATAAGGAGGCAAATGGTTTGCTGTTTATCTTATGTTATTCTCTGCCTCAAAAAAAATAAATAGATGAACAGTGTCTACTTATAGTGGGAGGGGAGGCAGTTTGCTGTTTATCTTATGTTATTCTCTGCCTCAAGGATAAATACTACAACTGATGCGTCTACTTGTGATGGGAGGGTCAAATAGTTTGCTGTTTATCTTATATTTATTCTCTGCCTCAAGAATAAATAACAGATGAACAGTCTACTTTAGTGGGAGGGAAATGGTTTGCAGTTTATCTTATGTTAATTCTCTGCCTCAAAAGGTGAAATACTACAACAGTGCGTCTGCAGTGAGGGAGGGAGGCAAATGGTTTTGTTTATGCGTACTGCTACCGTCTGCCTCAAAGATGAAAAGCTACAGTGATGCGTCTACTTATGGAGGGAGTGTCAAATGGTTTGCTGTTTACTCTTAAAAAGGTGAAATTGTTGAACAGTGCCTCAGTGTGAGGATGAAAACACCATTACGATGCGTAATCTTACTGGTGGGAGAAAAGGTCAAATGGTTGAACTGTTTATCTTAGGGAGGAGGCAGAGAATCCTATTAAATACTAATCCCAGTGCGTCTACTTATGGTGCCTTGCAGTGTCAAATGGTTGCTGGTTTATCTTATGATGCTCTGCCTCAGGAGAAAAAGGTAACACATGGAATGCGTCTACTTAGGGGAGGGGAGGCAGATGGTTGCTGTTTATCTTAATTATTCTCTGCCTCAAGGATAAATACTACATGATGCAGTCTCTACTTATGGTGGGAGGTCAAATGGTTGTTTACGACTTATGTTGTTCTCTGCCTCAGAGAAAAATACTAATGATTGGAACAGTACTTATAGTGGGAGGAGTCAATGGTTATGTTTATCTTATGTTATTCTCTGCCTCAGGAGAAAAGGTACATGATGTGTCTACTTATAGTGGGGAGGGGAGGTCAAATAGTTTGCTGTTTATCTTGCGTTATTCTCTGCCTCAAAAGGATAAATACTACGAACAGTGCGTCTACTTGCAGTGTGTGTCAAATGGAGGGAGGGAGGCTTATGTTATTCTCTGCCCTCAAGGATAAATACTACATGATGCGTCTACTTATGGTGGGAGGTCAAATGGTTGCTGTTTATCTTAGGGAGGCAGAGGTATTACATGATGCGTCTGGTGCCAAGTCAAAAGGTTTTGCTGTTTAACATGTTATTCTCTGGATAAATGAGGTGTCTACTTATTACGATGCGTAAATGCCACTGCGCTCTGTCTAAATACTACATGATGGTTATGAGGGAGGGAGTCAAATGGTTGCTGTTTATCTTATGCCATTCTCTGCCCTGAATGATGCGTCTACTTACCTTAATTTGGGGGAGCAAATGTTGAGAACATCTTATATTTATTCTCTGCCTCAAAAGGATAATACTAACAGTGTCTACTTATGGTGAGGGAGGGAGGCATAGTTGCTGTTTATCTTATGTTATTCTCTGCCTCAAGGATAAATACTACATGATGTGTCTACTTATGGAGGCAGAGAAATGTCAAATGGTTGCTGTTTATCTTATGTTATTCTCTGCCTCAAGGATAAATACTACATGATGCGTCTACTTATGAGGGGAGGGAGATCTTATGTTCCTTCTCTGTCAGATAAATATGATGCGTAATCCACTTTGCTGGGGAGGTCAAATGGTTGAACTATTTATCTTATGTTATTCTCTGGGAGGAGGCAGATAAATACTACATGATGCGTCTACTTATGATGGAGGTCAAATGGTTGCTGTTTATCTTATGTTATTCTCTCTGCCTCAAGGATAAATACATACATGATGCTTAATGCCTGTTTACTTATAAGGGAAAATACTATAACGATGTCAAATGGTTGGCAGTTTATCTTATGTTATTCTCTGCCTCAAATACTACATGATGTGTCTACTTATGATGCGTTGCTGTTTATCTTATGTTATGGGCATGATGTGTCAATATGGTTGCTGTTTATCTTATGTTATTCTCTGCCTCAAGGATAAATACTACATGATGTGTTCATTTATAGTGGGAGTGTCAATGGTTGCTGTTATCTTATGTTATTTCGCCTCAAGGATAAATACTACATGATGCGTCTACTTATGGTGGGAGTGTCAAATGGTTGCTGTTTATCTTTATGTTATTCTCTGCCTCATGATAAATAATTACTTGATGCGTCTACGTATGACGGGTCAAATGGCGTTGCTTATCTTATGTTATTCTCTGCCTCAAGGATAAATACTATGATGATGTGTCTACTTATAGTGGGGAGTGTCAAAATGGTTGTTGTTTGATCTTATGTTATTCTCTGCCTCAAGGATAAATACTGTTATGATGCGTCTACTTATGGTGGGAGTGTCAAATGGTTGCTGTTTATCTTATGTTATTCTCTGCCCCCAAGGATAAATTACTACATGATGCGTCTACTATAGGGGAGTGTCAAATGGTTGTTGTTTATCTTATGTTATTCTCTGCCTCAAGATAAATACATGATGGCATGATGCGTTGTATCTTTATGGTTCTCTGGGGAGGATGCGTCTAATAGTGGGGAGTGTCAAGGTTGTTTATCTTATGTTATTCTCTGCCTTCAGGATAAATACTACATGATGCGTCTACTTATAGTGGAGGTCAATGGTTGCTGTTTATCTTATGTTATTCTCTGCCCTCAAGGATAAATACTACATTGATGCGTCCACTTATGGTGGGAGGTCAAATGGTTGTTATCTTATGTTATTCTCTCGCCCTGCTGGATAAATACCATGATGCGTCTACTTATAGTGGGAGGTCAAATGGTTGTTGTTTATCTTATGTTATTTCTTGCCTGGATCATGAGTGTCAAATACCATCTTATGTTATGCGCCTTCACTTTATGTGTTCACTTATGGGGGAGTGTCAAATGGTTGCTGTTTATCTTATGTTATTCTCTGCCTCCCAAGGATAAATATCATATGATGCGTTCTACTTATAGGGAGTGGGATAGGTTTGGTTTATCTTATGTTGTTCTTCTGCCTCAGGATAAATACTACATGGTTGTTTATGGTGGGAGTGTCATGGTTGCTGTTTATCTTATGTTATTCTCTGCCTCAAGGATAAATACTACATGATGCGTCTACTTATAGTGGGAGTGTCAAATGGTTGCTGTTTATCTTATGTTATTCTCTGCCTCAAGGATAAATACTACATGATGCGTCTACTTATGATGGGGTCAAATGTTGCAATCTTATGTTATTCTCTGCCTCAAGTTTATGATGCGTCTACTTATGGGGAGTGTCAAATGAATCTTATGTTATTCTCTGCCTCAAGGATAAATACTACATGATGTGTCTACTTATAAAAAAAGGTCAAATGGTTGCTTATCTTATCTTATTCTCTGCCTCAAGGATAAATACTATATGATGAGTCTACTTATGGTGGGAGTGTCAAATGGTTGCTGTTTATCTTATGTTATTCTCTGCCCCAAGGATAAATACTACATGATGCGTCTACTTATGATGGGAGGTCAAATGGTTGCTGTTTAAATGCCTCAGGATTGCGTCTACTTATGTGATGGGAGGTCAAGAGTTGCTGTTTATCTTATGTTATTCTCTGCCTCAAGGATAAATACGTCTACTTATGATGGGAGTGTCAAATGGTTGCTGTTTATCTTATGAGGATGATGCGTCTACTTATGATGGGAGTGCGTCAAATGGTTGCTGTTTATCTTATGTTATTTTCTCTGCCTCAAGGATAAATACTACATGATGCGTCTACTTATAGTGGGAGTGTCAAATGGTTGCTGTTTATCTTTTATGTTATTCTCTGCCTCAAGGATAAATACTACATGATGCGTCTACTTATGGTGGAGTGTCAAATGGTTGCTGTTTATCTTATGTTATTCTCTGCCTCCAAGGATAAATACTACATGATGCGTCTACTTATAGTGGGAGTGTCAAATGGTTGCTGTTTATCTTATGTTATTCTCTGCCTCAAGGATAAATACATGATGTCTGCTTATGAGGTCAAAGGTTGCGTTATCTTACTCTGCCTCATGGATAAATACATGATGCGTCTACTTAAGGTCAAATGGTTGCTGTTTATCTTATGTTATCTGCCTCTGCCTCAAGGGATAAAGGTTGAATACATAATTCTCACCTCAGATGCGTAATGATGTGTCTACTTATGATGGGAGTGTCAAATGGTTGCTGTTTATCTTATGTTATTCTCTGCCTCAAGGATAAATACTACATGATGCGTCTACTTATGATGGATCAAATGGTTGGTTTATCTTATGTTATCTCTGGGATAAATACTACATGATGTGCCTAAAAGGTCAAATGGTTGCTGTTTATCTTATGTTATTACTACATGATGCGTCTACTTATGGTGGGAGTGTCAAATGAGTTGCTTTTATCTTATGTTATTTCTCAAGG